TGCGCTTTTAGCTCTAGGCTGAGATTTAGGCTGGTGGTGCAAATTACTGACCTCTGTCATCATTTTAAGTGGGGGAACTTGCACAATCGGTGGCTGACTAAATACTTTTTTGCCCCACTGTATGTGAACTGTGCAGCAAACTCTGTGTTTTGAAAAGTGCTATATAAATAAATTTTTCATGATTACTATTAGTAGTAGTAGTAGGAGGAGTATTAAAAGTATCATTATTATTAATTCAGTTACAACACTTACTTTTACAACTGTACCACAGGCAGTGACAGGGAACTCATAGATGGCAAAAGCTGAAGTGCTGCCATCTGGATTGCAGCTGTGACCATTCTTATAGAAAGAAATGGTCTCCAAGTCAATGTCGGGCAGAGTTGCATCTCTGGCCACCACCACGATGAACAGGCCTTCCTTGGTGCACTGAAGTGTCACTGAGACAACAACAATAATAATAAAGTACAACAAAAAGAAAGACAAATACAAATGCTTTTACCCTTTCACCATAATGTATCAGTGGTGTAGTTTATCTATAAAGCAGAACTTCTTACCAGATTTGCCATAATAGCACATGAGTCCATCAAAACAGCAGTTTATAGCGTCACATGCTCATAATTTTGGGCATTCGATCTATAGCCCAGCAGGGCAAATAATAAAAGACGACAACAAGTCAGCTTTAGTACCATTACGTCACAGAAAAGAACAGCAGATGCTGTGAAAAGTATCCTGCAAATATGTTTTATAAGGTATGGTTAATAATGGACTGTTAGGATCTCACATCCTATTTGTTGTCCACAGCTGCCAATCAAATGCTACAAATATTGTTTTGTCTATTGTGAGGTAAAGTTTGAGGTAATGAATGAAAATATAAATAAATCACTGACAAATTAGAGCAATTTTACAGCTATACTATATCTGTAGAAGGCAAAGAAAGCATGTAGTGTACAGCGTACTTGCTATACTTTATTGCTGTGTGTACCTGGGCATGGTTTTTATTGTATACATCATGTGTGATACAGAAAACCAGCTGTTTGTTATCAATTCAGGGTGAAAACATTCTGCTTTGTTTGAACAGTTTCATAACAAGAACCTTCACAGGGTCTGTCTGACCAACACTGTGCCTTCACAGTGTAAACAAAAAGTTTTATTTATCGTTCATTTTGACATCGTTGCAAATTGTTGCAACAGGATGAAGTGTTCTTTGTCTGTGATAAAAAAAGAAGGTATAATTAGACGTAAGCAGGTCATCTGTGGACAGGAGGCAAGAAGTTTCAGTATTATGTATTTTGGCTGCACGAGCTATTCGGTCATTTTATTTGTGACAGGTTAAAATGTTAGTTTTAAAAATCCTGAGAGTCATTTTGTAAATCTATACTGTGCATGCATCTCAAACAAAATATACAGTTTCCTCCTCTTTGGTAACCTCTTCGGAGTCGAGCTCTTGTTTAGGATGCATTTTTATTTATTTAAGTCACTCCTCATAAGAATAAACAGTGTATTTTACGTGATAACCCAATAAAATCATGAATTTGTAATGATGTAATAGCATCTAGAGAGGTAATTCTGAGTAAATTAAAAAGTGATATAAACAAATTAAACCAGAGAAGAAGTATTGTGCAAATTGTACAGATACTATTGTTTATC